CTGGGGAGTATAGTGATTATAGCAATCCCCAGAGTGTAGTTTCTCCAATCCCCCAAACATGAGCCGAAACTTCATGAAGGTACAAGATGATCTGCTTTTTAATTACCACATACTGGCTTTTATGCAAGTCCCCATGCAAGGGGACATCCCACAGAGTGGGACACAGTACAACCAATTGCACAATGGTTACATCCCACACATCTCCTCCCCTTAGCCTGAGAGGTAACCCAATTATCCATACATTTTAAAACACACTTTTTACCCAACTTTCATAACTCTAAAACTATACATCACATTCACATAAAATTACATATTCACAATCAATCCATTCAGGGGAACAACATATTAAAAAATGTCATGAACCAGACCAGTCGTTCAGAAGTTAGCACAAGTATCTTTTGGGGCCTGGCTGGCAGCATGGCTATCTGGCCCAAACTGGTTTCAGAGTCTTCTATCCTGGAGATAATTGAGAAGTAATGCAATTATCTCCAAGGACAGAGGCAAAACTCCATTAGCCACATGGCAGACAAAGGACAACAAAAGACATAAAAATACATACTGTTACATTTATCACATAGAACCTACACATTTACAATTTACCGAACACATAATAGCATATATAATATTGCAGACTGCCTGAATGCAATCTGCTACACAGTCTTAAAGGGACATTGTTCCTAAAAGTCATAATATGTCCAGGGATGGTTTTTAAAGGGCCAGCAGCAGCACCATACAAATCCAATATGCCCAAATATTGTACTTGAAGGGCCAAATAACCCAGGGCCATAGTCATGAGGCAAGAGGCTGGCAATCAGGCTCCTCCAACAGCCAGGGGAAAATCCTGTGACAAAAGGCGTTTCGTCACAACAGTAAACTAAAAAATATCCAGAGGGTAGGTTCTTGCTCCTAAACTGTCAACTTAATAACGTTAACTATACTATTATTAAAGGAAAACTCCAGTGCCAGGAAAACAATCCATTTTCCTGGCACTGCAGGTACCCTCTCACTCCCACCTACCATCCCAGGCAGTGGTTTCGGGTCGGCGTCGCTCCTCCCAGTAATCACGTCAGCCGTGGGCGAGACTGATTCCGCCCGCTGGCTGAGGAAACTCCTACTACAAGTTGAACATGAACAATATGCAAGCCATGGGTATGGGAATACTTCCAGGCGTACTCTCTAATCTCAAGGAAACCTTTGAGTATAATATCAGAACTGATTACTTAAATTTCCTTGGGATAACACTTTCAAAGAATCACAAAGATAGAAGATAGGTTCCAATACAACTATGCAAAAATTGCCAAAGATATAACAGATATCCTTATTATGGGAAGGTACATTTATATCTTGGCTAGGGAACATAGCCATTAAAATGTCCATTCCACAACTAATGTACTTATTGAGAACATTACAGATTCCTCTACCGAGGGAATATTTAAATTTGCTTCAGTTTTTACTTAAATTTGTCTGGCAAAACAAGAAAATTAGGGTGGCATCTAGAATACTTCATAGACCAGTTGGGAAGGGGGGCCTAAGTCTCCAATGTGTACTATAGAGCAGTCACTCTTAACTGGTCATATGAAATGATGACGCATACATAACTCAACCCAAGTATCACGGTTGTGTCATGATTTTGTGCAGGTCAGGGAGGAAAAACAATATGTAGCCAAAGTCCAGTTTAGAAATAAAGTAGGGTTGAATCGGATGAATCAAGATGGTTGCAGATAAGTAAGGGTGGAGCAGGTTGTCAGGATTCAGTTGAGTTAGGAACAGGTCTTTATCAGATTATAACAAATCTCAGAGCCAGGAGCAGAGCACAACTTCTCTCACTCAATGTAAACACCCTGTTGTGAGCAGGGTGTAGCCGTATGAAGCATCTTCATTAGTCCAGGCAGGTGAGGATGATAAGGTGACTGAGGAGACTAGTGACTAGGGAGGCCACTAGAGGTGAGAAACAAGTATTGCATGAAATAAACAGAATAATAACTTGGTTGTCAGGATAGGGTCATGACAGTCGTGTGATAACCCAACACTCAGTATGTGAACCCAAAGAAAACCCAAGCATATATTACCGTACCTTAGAATGGTCGGATTTAACGAAGTAGAAAAGAGTAGTCAGAGGATAGCCAAAAATCAGAATACCAGCGATCAGGAGAACAATACCAGAATAGTCAGGTCAGGATACCAGATATCAGGAGGTCAAAATACAAGCCGAGTCAGGGAACCAAAAATCAGGAATGTCAAAAGCCAAGCCGGGTCAGTACACAGAAACAACAGTAAATATGCAAGGAGAATCAAAGAGCACTAAGGGGAACACAAGTAACCACAACAGGACAAGGAACAAGGCAAAAGGCACCCCTTTTATAAGGGAGCATCTTTTGCTTTAAGGCCACGCCCCCAAAATGTTCTGGGCTGGTATTAATGATGTGGGACTGAGTCAATGACATCATAAAAAGGGGTGTGACTCCAGCATCTGGCATGGGACATGCTGAACTTGTTGGAAGAGGAGTCTGCCCTGGATCTTACACCACGTGGGTGTGATGGAATAAGGTAGAGATCGGTAGAGATCGTGACACCAAGACCCTTGACATGCCATGTGAAAGACATGTGGGATAGAATAGGGTCCAGAGCAGGGGTAGGCAACCTTTGGCACTCCAGATGTTGTAAACAACATATGGAATACTTGTTTTTTTGTCACACTGACCCATGTATTATAAATCACATTGTTGTCTGTCTTATCTTGCTGGAAAAGAAAAAGAAAGAAAGAAGGAAAGAAGGAAAGAAGGAAAGAAGGAAGGAAAGAAAGAAGGAAAGAAGGAAGGAAAGAAGGAAGGAAGGAAGGAAGGAAGGAAAGAAGGAAAGAAAGAAAGAAAGAAAGAAAGAAAGAAAGATTGATTTCATCCATAAATCTGCTGGCAATTTATTTGGCACAACGTTTGACATTTTATGCTCTATAAAGTAAAACCATCACCTTTTTGGATATTACACTAATGGATTAAACACTTCCATATGTTGTGTTTGCTTTTAACCCCTTAAGGACCAAACTTCTGGAATAAAAGGGAATCATGACATGTCACACATGTCATGTGTCCTTAAGGGGTTAAATTAAAAAACTTTAGCAAATTCCCCACCTGGCACAATCAGGGCACATGTTACACAGCAGAGGAAACAGAAATATTGCTTTATTATTTCTATTCCTCTTTCTGTATTGCCTGAAAAGTACAAAGTCGCTCATAACAATGACTGGCAGTAAGCCATGAGAAGGTAAGTAATTACAGGATTGGTGGATTTCTGCACATAATTTTATTTTTTCACACCTAACAAATACATGTGTTAAATACATGAGAAAGGTAGATGTGTCCTATATGGCAGGGGATTTTGCATTTGCTGGCTCATTTTATTTATTTATTGCAAAGAATCAAGGAATAAGAGGAAGTCATCATAATCCCCAAAAATATTATTATTTTTCTAAATCTCAACCCCACATGAGACAGAACATGTAGCAGAGATATCTCCACAGAAATAATATAATTTCAAGTTAATTTAAAAGTATTTAAAGTGTTCTACTTCAACACAAGGGAAATGCATTGTAGTTAAAGGAACATCCTGTCTCAATGAAATTGTTAGGAAGCCTGGCATCCTGGGCAATGTTTAAACCTACAGTTTAACCACTTTCTCCTCTTTTGTACCCGCTCTCAGTCTATTCCTTGGGAGCGGGTACCAAAGTCATTGTTTCCCTATCAGCACTCTCATTTGCAATGGGTGTGTCAGTCTCTGCCTAAGCCAATACAAGGAGTGGCAAGGAGAAGAGATAGGAGGAAGAACGGCACTCGAGGACAAAACATGTAAAACAGTTTGAAATGGTTTAAAACTGTGAGGCACCCATGGATTCCAGGTCCAATGACAATTTAAGATTAAGTTGTTCTAGAGCTGCATCTCTTTAACTTATTTACTTGTTAAACCAATATGTTGCATGAAATGAAAACAATCTCTGACTGGAAACATATAATTAATATATAATGTTTGATATATGATGAAAGTGTATATAAAGTATATGTAACTAATTATTTAATTCTAGAAAAATAACACTTTTCAAATTACAAAATTCAGAGAAGACTTCTCCAATTTCAGTTTAGTTAAGGTTTTACAATTTTTGCTTAAATTATGCTATTTGGCTGTTAATTCAGTACATTTTGATATTTATATATACCCCATAACATTTTATTAGGAAGATTACATGTATTTCTTTGTAATTTCTGATAAATTAATTTTATGTCTGACATGTTTTTGCTTACAGGTTAATATAGACCACAAAACCAGAGATATAATTTCCCAGAACATCTCACAACCAACATCTAGCTGTTTTGATGATGCTCAAAAACTTATCTTGTGTCTCATGGCAAAGGACTCTTTCCCTCGGTTCCTACGATCTGATAACTACAAAGATCTGTTAAAGAAGCAACAGAATAATGGACAGAAAAAATGGCTACCTTTTTGATTTTAAAGAAATATAATTTCCTATAAACCCATGTCATTTGCCAATGTCCCATTGCTGACTATTAAAAAAAAAATCTATATTGGGCATTACAAAAATTCAGACAAAATAAGATTTTATTGGACTGTCCTTTTATTGGAGCAAGCCTTAATATCATAATGCTACACTTATCTATTCAAGTAATTTAACCTCTCAAATAAAAATAAAAATTTAAAAAATCACAAACAAATACATTGTTATGAGAAAAATAAACTTGTAAACTTTGACCAAAATTAAGATTTTAGATTAGCTTGAATGGCCCAAATCATGTGCATTATTACAAAGATACTCATTCTCAGCTCTTATTACCGAAGCAAAAATAATCGAACTATAAGACAACCTTCAGAGATGTCAGCAGAAACTCCATGGAACTTCAATTACATAAATTTTGTCCAACTTGGGCATGTAATGTGCACATGCTGCTTGTACAATTTATAATGATCGCTCTCTTCCCAGGAGAGCTAGCTGAGTAAGCGGCTGCACACATTCATGGTCAGGGCAGTCTCAAACAAACAAAGGAATGGCTGCCATTAAGTTATATAGCAGCCATACCACTGTATTATGAGTGGAACTGCAGCTGATGGATATGTCCTGATAGAGGCTTATCTAAACTATGTAGTTTCGGTATCTTGTAAGGTTAGGTTAGCATCTTTATTCATTTATTTTGCATCTTTTAATGGATTAAAATACAGGGTCCTTTTACACCTTTGCATAGCTAAAAAAAAAAAAAAAAAAGACTATTTGGTGTACATTTCTCAACTTTGATTTTAATTTCACAGCAATTAATTAACTGAACTACTTGACTGTTTATTTGACCATTCTATATGTCTACAAAGCATTGCATAAGTATCTGAGTTGTGGCATATGTAGAAATACGTGTGAGTGTAGATGTAGATGTTTGTCTCTGAATCCATGTTTGCAAATGTGTATATGTGTTTGTGCAAATATATATGTCCATTTTCCAAAGATATAATCTGGCATAAAATCCAGCAGTATCCTCAGAGTCGGATGCCGGATGTCCCATTAGGCAGAGAAGGTCCTCCTCCTTATCTCGTCTCCTGTGTCTGCTAGTAGACATGTGCAATTTGTTTCGGTCCGAATGTGAATTCAGACAAATTTCAGTCTATTCGGACATTCGGGTACTTCCGAATGTCCGAATAGATGAATTGCCGAAGTCCCAAAGTTCCGAAATTACTGAAATTCCAGCGTGTCGAAGTGCCTATGGCTGCTCACGGTTAAAAAAAAACCAAAACAAAACCTCCCCCCCTCCCAAGCACCCACCCGTGCCGCACGAGTGTGGGCTTCTAACCTGAAGGGGGGACCTATTGCCCCCCAACCCCCACCCCTGAATGGTGGGTGGGGGCCGTAAAGTAAAATAAGGGGGGACCTAATGTCCTCCCTCCCTAAATAAAAATTTACCTCCCCCCAGGTGACCCAAACCCCTAGTCACCCACCTCCCAAAAAAAACCTAACCCCTACCTACCCCCCTCACCCTAAAAATAATGAGGGGGGACCATTAACTAAGTACCTGTAAAAAAAAACTTACCATTTGATGTTTTCTTTCTTCTAAAATCTTCTTTTTTCAGCCCCAAAAAAGGCCAAATAAAAATCCATAATAACCGATGCACTTAAAAAAAAAAAAAACGAGCGCAAATAAAAAAATAATCCTTCTTCACCCATGGAGGGCTCCACACAAACTGAGCTCTGCAGGGCAGGGGAAGGCTTATAAAGCCTTGCACCGCCCTGCAATTAGGTTCAGAGCACTCTGATCGGTGGGTTTAAGCCATCCAATCAGAGTGCTCTGACAGGTAAATGAAGAGACTGACAGGTAAGTCTCTACATTTATCTGTCACAGCACTCTGATTGGTTGGCTTGAAATCCACCAATCAGAGTGCTCTATGTCATTTTACACAGCGTGGGAAAGTTCTTTGGAATTTTCCCATGCTGTGTAATTTGACTCATAACTCTCTGATTGGTGGATTGAAAGTATATCCAGTCAGGTCCATAAATATTGGGACATCGACACAATTCTAATCTTTTTGGCTCTATACAGCACCACAAAGGATTTTAAATGAAATGAAGAAGATGTGCTTTAACTGCAGACTTTCAGCTTTAATTTGAGGGTATTTACATCCAAATCAGGTGAATGGTGTAGGAATTACAACAGTTTGTATATGTGCCTCCCACTTTTTAAGGGACCAAAAGTAATGGGACAATTGGCTGCTCAGCTGTTCCATGGCCAGGTGTGTGTTATGCCCTCATTATCCCATTTACAAGGAGCAGATAAAAGGTCCAGAGTTAATTTCAAATGTGTTATTTGCATTTGGAATCTGTTGCTGTCAAATCTCAATATGAGATACAAAGAGCTGTCACTATCAGTGAAGCAAGCCATCATTAGGCTGAAAAAACAAAACAAACCCATCAGAGACATAGCAAAAACATTAGGTATGGCCAAATCAACTGTTTACAACATCCCTAAAAAGAAAAAACGCACCGGTGAGCTCAGCAACACCAAAATACCCGGAAGACCATGGAAAACAACTTTGGTGGATGACCGAAGAATTCTTTCCATGATGAAGAAAATACCATTCACAACAATTGGCCAGATCAAGAACACTCTCCAGGAGGTAGGTGTATGTGTGTCAAAGTCAACAATCAAGAGAAGACTTCACCAGAGTGAATACAGAGGGTTCACCACAAGATGTAAACCATTGGTGAGCCTCAAAAACAGGAAGGCCAGATAAGAGTTTGCCAAACAACATCTAAAAAAGCCTTCACAGTTCTATGGACAGATGAGACCAAGATCAACTTGTACCAGAGTGATGGGAAGAGAACAGTATGGAGAAGGAAAGGAACTGCTCATGATCCAAAGCATACCACCTCATCAGTGAAGCATGGTGGTGCCAAAAAGATTAGAATTGTGTCGATGTCCCAATATTTATGGACCTGACTATATATATATATATATATATATATATAACGCAACAAATGTAGCTGTACTCACGATCTGTAGAGAAAATCTTCAATTCTTTATTAATTCATGTTAAAATTAGGATCGACGTTTCAGTCCCCCTCGTGGACTTTCCTCAGGATCAAAACATCTATATGTAATATATATATAATTTCATGCTGTAAAATTAGAGAGCGCAAACTAAAGTATAAATATTAAACGTAAATAATACAAAATGGCTTTTAGCCTATATTGAGCATCTGAAGCACGTAAAGTATTCTCTCATAAACCCAAAACGAATATTCAATGAAAAAAGGTAAGTGTCAGCGCTACATTAGATTTAGACCAATTAGCTATTTGGCAAGTCTACTTATACTATGTGGAATCACCAAGACTGTATATGCGTCAATTATTACAATAAAAATCAATTGATACCATCTGATTTGTCCATTGATCTTATACAATAATATAGTGAAAAATAAAAAGTCAATGGCATGTGCCACAATCATAAGTGTCCCAACTTCAGAATAAAAAACTTAAAATGTTTCGGGTTCCTGGGATGCTTGATGGGGTGATATTGAGTGTCACACAGAGATACTTCAAGGGTCCGAACCTTAAAGGAGACACAGAACAAGCTACATAGCGTAATTCTGCGTTTATTAATAAAAAACAGTCAGTACAATATAGAAACCCCCTCCCCCCGAAAAGGACCCTTACATTTGATAGTTGTGGAACTTGTTTCCAAGAAACCACAATAAACACTTTGTAATAGCAAGTAACGATACCGTCCAATGCTCCTATTCCCTAAATCTCGGCTGAATGTTCAAAAGCCAGATGACAGGTGAAAATGCTGGGGAAACGCTCAAGAGACGGACCGCTGCTGTTAGAGAGATGAAGCAATGAATGGCCGCTTGCACATCAATGCGTTTCTCCCATCTTCGCCGGATTTCTCAAGATAGTGTGGCGGCCATTCAAAACGCTCTTTTATGTTGTTCCATTAATCATTCATAAAAAAGCCAAATCAACTAAGTAGTTATATTAAGGTATTGCCAAAATATAAAACTGCAACAATGTTGCTATTAGAAAAAAAGGGATCGTTCTTCATATTATATATATGTACATACAAAGTATACAAATACAATATATATATATATAAAAAATATAACAATAAAAAAATACAAATACACACATAAATTCATAGCACATGCCTTAAAAGAAGCTTCAGCGATGTATCTGTATTCCTATTTATAAACCGTAGCTCCCAATACTATAATCCACTTAAGCTTGTACAGGCTAACAGCATAGCAAAAATATATATTTTGAGTCCGCACAAATCTCATCAGCACTTGTTAACTAAAGCTATTCCTTACATAAAATTAGTACTGATGTCGATAAATAATAATACCAATTGTTGAATTGCCAGTAATTATCAAATGACCAGTTAACGTACAAGTAACTATAATAATGCTGATGAGAACCTATGTTTGCTAGCCTCTTTCTAAAAAGAAAGAGAAAAAGAAACAAACTTCTTTCTATCTGTATCAATTTTAAACAGATAAGTTTAGTCTGTTTCAATTCTAAATATATTAAAAAGCCATTTCACACTAAATACTCAAATTAAGAAAGACAATCAAAATTCTGAATATAACTAAATGGATAATGAATAAAATATAAAATCCGGGGCGTGGCCTGACTGTGAAGCTGTGCAGACGCACAAACCAAGAGCTCCCGGGCCTAGGGCCAATTATTGACTAAATCTGGGGGCAAACTAAATAACCCTGAACCCCAATTTTCCACAACTTGTTCTGCAGACACTGGCGAACAGGGAGATACCTCACATGCCCAGAAAACCCGCCGGAATGACCAAGCTGAGGCCTGGGGCCTATACCAACCAGGGCAAGGGAGAGGCGGCCGCTCTCCCAGCCCATAAACACACGCAGCAAATGGCTACCCCCCCCCTAGGACCGGTGGGGGTTATCCCGGTCCCAATCATCTCGACTGGCAAGCCCCAGCGGACCCTAAAAGCGAACCTCAGCCCAATCCACACACCAATCTTGCAGGCAGCCCACCACACAAAACACTCCCTCACTACCCACCTGGATGAGTTGTTTGAGGCCTTCTGGGCATGGATAGCGGCCCGACACGAGGCAGAGCAATCAAAGCTGCAGGTGAACGGAAGCACAGAGGTCCAACAAGGCGACATCGACCGGAGAGGGACCAGGCTGCCTTCGGGCAAAGCCGTGAAAAAACAGCCAAAGAATCTCCATACCAGCCCATCCGAGCTGAGAGCCACCAGGGGATTAACCCCAGAGCATCGACCACGCAGACGGAGACCCACCTACCAACGATGGTACGCCACCAACACCAGGGTCTCCAGACCAGCCCCTAAAGGGAAGGACCCGGCCTTCAAAAATCCCCGAGTCCTTGGTCACAGGATGCCGGTCCTGCTACAAGCCCGGAGCGAGAAGGCGCCACCGGTCAGCTCCTGGCCAACCACCAACCTCTACAATACCTCACACAAGCGCCAGAAAGCGCAGCAGAAGGCGCATGACGAAGGCTCGCAAGCAGCAGAGCTCATCAAAGCTATCAGCAGCACGGAGGTGGAAACCGTCAAAGAGCAGACCTCAACCCTGCATCAACCCTTGCCAGCCATGGAAACCCAAGTTCCTGACAACCAAAAAGCACAGCCTCAAACCTGGGACTCAAAACCCGGTACGCTCCAGTACAGAAGGGGACATTGCTCGAATGAAACAAGGCATAGGGTGAATGTTTTTTGTCCCACTACCTTCCGTGACAGGGGGGACCCCCTGGGGGAATCTCCATAGCATGATGTACGTTACACACAGCCGGCTATCTGCCACTAACATGTTGACTCACTTTGTTTAGCCTTAAAACCAGCTACCATATAGGTGATACTCTTGATTGCTAGCACTGTTTTCTATTACCCTTGCACCTTCTTGGGATCTAAGCTTGGACCTTCCTTTAGTTAGCCTGTACTAGAAATATCTAAGTCTGAGCCTGGGCAGCATTTCAGTATCTTCCACAATTGATCAAGCTTGTTTATCACATGCCAGTATATACATTGTTCCTCCTGTAGTCTTTCAGGTCCTAAGATCAGACTTACAATTCAGCCTGTTTACTTAAACCATAAAAAATGTGCAGTTATTCACTTGCCATGATACTGTATTTACCTGTGATTTTGCAATATGTTTGTCATGCTGTCGTGGCATCACAAGCAAATATGTTACTCCGTGCACTAAGAAAAATAAAGAATTTAAAAATATATATATAAAATCCATAAAAAATAATACTAAATACTAAGAAATGTGTCAGGTAATCTCTTTCGCCTTATAATAAAAAATGCTCACAATACAAGCATATAATAAGTTTCCTATATTTTCTTAGCACAACCATATTCCACTATACAATACCCGGAAGTTCAAACTCTACATTCAAGTCTCGGGGCACTAGAGTTTTCAATTTAAAAATCCAAGACATCTCTTGGTATGTTAGCCTCTTGGCAAGTTCTCCCCCTCTCTAGGGGATATTAACCCTTTCTATCCCACAAAAGTTTAGGCTTGCCAGATTACTTGCATGGTACTCAAGGTAATGTTTTGATAATGAATCTTTTTCATACTTTCTTTTAATATTATAGACTTGTTTATTCAGTCTTACTTTCAACATTCTCTCAGTTTGCCCAACATACTGTATGCCACAGGGGCAGCTAATTAAATATATAACTTGTTTGGTGTGGCAAGTTATACATTCTTTAATATCAAACTTTTGTCTCATAGCAAATGATTGAAAGTTGGTGTAAAGGATCCTTCTATTCGTGCAGTGCTGATCCTTGTAGCTTCCGACTGAAACAGAGTGATTATAGCTTCCAATCCCTCAAACATGAGTCGAGACTTCATGAAGGGGTAAAACGATCTGATTTAATGGGGGTTACCTGCCCGGTATTTATGCAGGTCTCCCACCTGGTAGACACTCCCCTAGGGGACCAGATGGAAGACTGGGAAAAAATAATTACAGTAGCCAATCGCAGTGGCTATAACATAAGCACTCCCCTTTTACATAGGTCACTCCCTCCTTTCCATCCTGGAGATAATTAACTTAAGGTAGTAAAGAGAGCCTTAATTATCTCCAGGTAGAAAGAAACATGGCTTTTCCCATATTCACCAAACAGCATAAAAATGTATAACTTATATTTTACGGAACATAAACTTTAAGTCCCACATACCCCCAGATAGCTTGAATCTGAGTGCATATTCTAGGCGAATAACGCTCAGATCCCACGAACACAGTTCTCAATAACGTCGAATGAAGTTTGGACTTCACCGGCCGTTCGGATGTTTGTATCTGACAAAGAGTTCCACACTGTAGCTATCTGGGGTCGGTCTCTTTCGCATAAATCCAAGTCCCGAACGGTGCAATGTGTCAGGGATCCGCGGGCGGCTAGGAGGGGAGGCTGCACGCTGCTTGCAGCACTCACCCTCACTCCATCGCCGCCCGCGGTCTCCCCTCTGCTTACCTCTCGGCGAGCGGCGTCTCCTCTCTGCCGCTCGCCGCCCGCGTCCTCCACGCCCCCCAGCGGCAGCATGTATAACGCTGCACGCTGGGAGGTCAATGAATTATGTAAACGCCGGGGTCACGTGAGTGACCCGGCGTTAAAGAAACAGTACCACAATCACAGTGGGGGGTATAGATATCCCCCACGTGTGATTGTTAATTCTGATTGGAAGTTATCCAATCAGAATTAAACCTAGGGTATTTATACTTACCTTTCCTGTCCCTCAGTGCCCTGTTGTGGTCTTGTGATACCTGTAGCGTAGTGTTCTCGTCTTGCTCTCTGGTTACTGATTACTTGGCTCGTTATTCCGATTATCCTGTCTTCTCCACTCCTTTGACCTCGGCTTGTTTCTCGTTCTCCTGTTTTCTGGCTCCCTTTACCTGGCTTGTCTCCTGACTATTCTTAGCGTGCTTAGCCCGGCCACTCTAAGGTCCGGTACGGCACCTTTTCTGTGTGTGTGTGCCAGCGTGTTAGGTTCCACGAATCGTGACATT